GCTGTAGCGATGGCTGTGCGCTCTGTGGCACAGAAGTCATCGAGCGCCTCCTCGAGAGTAGTGAAACTAACAACTCTGCGGAGGGCGTTCTTGACACCCACTAGGGATCGCTTGCGAGGGTCCAAGCTCATGCATTCCACAATGACTTCGTACGTATCTTGTGACATAGTAGGAAAGACATCGAAAAGTGACTGCTTATCTCGGGAGAAGTCCAGGAACAGCGGGTCGGTCTCGGTAGGAGTGGTGAACGGGTTTCGAGAGAATAGGATGTTCAGGAGACAGATACCGATAGCCCAAATGTCAGCCTGAGCCGGCGAGTACCCAGCTCCGGCTGAGTCATACTGTTCCGGGGACATGTACCGGTCACTTCCAACGGTAGTTTCGTAGCTCCAGTTGTCGGTGGTCGCCAAGCCGAAATCGCCTAGTTTCATCGAACCAGACTCGGTAAGGAATATGTTCTCAGGCTTGATGTCTCGGTGGTAGACGCCCTTTGAGTGCATATACGAAACAGCGTCTACTAGCTCGAGCATGAATCGGCGGACATGTTCGGTTTCCAAAGGACCATATCCTGTTCGGATGGCCTCGTAAAGATCGCCGCGGGAGCAGTATTCCAGGACGAGATATACGTGGGCATCCGTCTCGAACGAGTGAATCAGGTTGACGATGTTGGGATGAGCACCAAGGAGACGGTGGGAAAACAGCTCTTCGGATCTCTCGTCGACGGCGAATTCGATCCCGATATCATTGGCAGCTGCTTTCTTGGTCAAACACTTGATAGCCACATTCTCATTAGTTTTCAAATCCCTGGCCATGAAAACCATTCCGAACGACCCATGGTTGAGCGGGGAGATAGTCTGAAATCTCCCATCGAGTACAACGCCATCGTAGAAGTTGTTTCGCAAGCATTCCATGACGCTGTCTCAAAGGAGAGACAAATATTTGAACTGAAAGATGAGAGGGGTGGCTCGAGTGTAACCACGGGTGATCGTACAACTGTACAAACGATTTTTCCCTTCCCGGCCGTCTATCTTGATAGAAGGGTATGCACGAGTCTAGTGAAACCAATGCAAGTAACTTTTTGAGTCCTTGTGTACAGAGCTAAGGTTGCTGAGTGGTGATACGAGATAATAGGTAATAAGTCAAGAGGAGAGTTTGTGTGTGTATCAGAGCGAGGAACAGGCAGCGAGGATATACAGGTATGCCAAAGGGGGAAAAGAAAACATATAACTCCAGATCGTTAATGGGTCAGAGGCTCATCCAGGGTATTTCCGGTTTACTGAACAAATGAAAGCGGTGAAAATGTTCGTGAATAAGTGAAGGACCTACGGCCCTGAAAGAATGAAAGAAAAAGGTCGTTATAAGGACATTGGATACGGTGTAGTAAATCTGAAAGAGTGTCGTTTGGTTTGTCGCAGTTGCAAGCTTCAGCCGGTGGTGGAGCCTGTAGCGATGATTGTGCTTCTTATGTGTTGTTGATATGGTTGATGTTGCAAGTCTGGCGTTTGGTAAACGGGTCGACGAGGCAGCGAAGTCCGAAGGCTGGGTGGCCCTTGGTATCAACACACAACTACTGGAGAGGTCAAAGTGGCATTCGAGCGAGACGATCCTGTGCTGGCTGGCTTTGTTCTGAATGGACACAGTTGGTCGGGTGGTGTCGTGGTGGGCTTTATATGACCAAGTCGATATGACTGGCCGGCCACCTGGAGTCGAAAACAGACAAGATGTTGCTAGGTGTGTATTGGTTGTGTGGTTGAAGAAGCTGGGCTAGACTCCGAGTTGACAACTTGACTCAACAATGGGCGGGTCGGCGAGGTTATGACTCTTCGGGGCCCCTGCTCAACGGGAGATTGATGATAATAGGCGTCGTTGCGAGGTGGTCCTGGCTTCGGTGCAGATCCGGATACTCAATGGATTCGGGGCGAGTATGACGTGTAAACACTATCTATCAGACCGAGTAGCAGTCAACACACTTTTGGTCCTTGCAGTCGTGTGAGGAGTCGTTCGAGCTAGTAAGGCCGTGGAGGGGATTATGAACTGTCCTGACAGACAAAGGGCGGCAAATTCGGATCGTTGGACGGTGGTGTGATTGACTGGTTAAGGGTAGTTCGCGGAAGGAGGGGAGCAGGAGCTGAAAGAGACCAACGGTCGCTCAAAGGAAAGAGAGGGACGGGGTTTATTAATTAGGTAGTCTGAACAGATAGGCGGAAGGAAGCTGGATTCCTTTCTCTGGGATGTACTGCGAGTAGTGGTTCTTTGGGTTGAAAGCACGGATGGGGATTGATCGATGGAGAAACCGCTTGCTTGCTTGTGCAGAGAGAAAGGAACAGTGAACGACGGGACGAAGGATAAAGATAGGTTGAGGTTGAGGGTGTCGGTAAAGAAGCGGTAGGAAATGGATGGAGGCAGAGGCAGGAGAACAGACGAGATAGGTAGTAAGTATGGATGGCCCAAGGGGGAGAGATGAATGAACGAAACTGCCCAGGTGGTTGCACTCTCAGTTCTCAGTTCGTACTGGCGTTAGGTACGTACTCCGTACCATGCATCGACCTCCATGCAGCCCATGTAGAGGTGGGCTGGCCTGGCTGGTCACTTGCTGGATAGGGTGGGACGACTATGGAGCGATGCAGGCAGTGAACTGGATGGCGTGAATGGCTAACCAAGTGGGCAGAGCGCTGGGCTTTGCTGGGATGCTGGGATCAATACCTCCAGTAGCTGGATCAATACCTCGATACTCGATACCTCGATACTTCGGTACGTGCGTAGAGGGTATGATGTGTGTAGGCAGGCAGCTGGGCAGTACATACACAGCAGGTATAGAAAGATAGAATCGTGTCAATCGTCGATGCCCTTCAGGAGCTGGAGCTGGTCCTGCTTGTCTGGTTGACTGGGTACCTAAGGTAAGGTAGGCTGGTATGGAGGCAGCAGCTTTGTGTCTCAGGGCAGCAGCGACAGCGCCAACGGGACAGTCTGACAGTGTTGATACTGTGAGCATGATAAACAATGGGTAGCCATGACGATAGAACGATAGGATAATTTTATCATGGTGCCACGCAATCAGTTAGGGGGATACCTCCCAACACTCGGGTCAGGCACGAGAATCTGGTGGAACCAGCCAGCAAACCACAACGGGTGTCGAAGTATCGCCATAGCCGCTTGGCCAGGCGACAGGGTGAGACTTGGTTCGACTCCAAACCTGCCACAGTGCCACTTGTCCCGACTGCTGCTGACCAACCAGAGGGTAGTGGAAGCTTGTCGAATCGTCGAATCGTCAAATCTCTGGAGTACGACTCCCTCATGTACCTCATGCAGATGGAATTGCGTAGTGCGTTAGGTACCTTGGCTGCTTTGTGAGGTACGTGGGAATGCCGCTAACCACAGCACCGTGTACTAGTACTGCTAATACAATAGATGTGCTGCAGGCAGACCCGCCGCCTCCGGATCGCCACACGTTCAGCTACTTGCGATTGGAGTATCTGATAGCAAATCTGTGTGCAAGCACGACCGGATGCGGCTGGTGGGGGACGAAGGAGCCAAGTAGCCCTCGTTATTGACAGTCGCGATCGGCAAGTAGTCGCTAACCTGAACGAGGTACTGCAGGCAAATGTGAGGAAATGTGCCTGTCTAGCGTCTACCAGGAGTGTGCAGGCACGGAGAGAGAGACACTTGGACACGTTGCAGTGACTCCACAACTCTATGCCTGCTATTTTATGGCTCTGCCCCCTTCAGCAGGCCAATTACGGCATTACAGACAGGAGCATTGGCGTCTCGACCTTTCCAGCATTTTCTGTTTCACTTGAAATAAACAGGCCAATGCCATTGGCTAATTGCATCTGCACTCCTTTCTACCTGCATCTCTCGTTGTCCGGCAGCTACCTAGGTACATACGTATTTACATATGTACATACGTACCTAGCAGCCTAGGGTATTTTTGCTCGCTGTTGACCGCCTTTGTGTAATTTCAATTGCTGCAGGACACCTCTTCTGTAGCCTGGCCTGGCCTTGTCGGGTCGGCGCATCCAGTGTCCATTGACCTATTGAAAAACTCATTTCCCGTCGCAGGATAACAGTAAGAGACTTCTGGGTTTGACTCATAGTCTTGTGCTTCCCTAGAGCTTCTCAAGGCGCCTAATAAAATGTAGTACATACACACGTATAGATTCGAGGCTGAGTGGATGTTGCCGACGTTACGCGTAGGCAGGTAGGTAAATGATAATGTGACCCTTGATTTGTTGGGGGGGCTGTGAAATAAACATCCCTAGATAGATACAGTAATCGTACGTAGTAGTACCATCTGCCCAGCACTATCAATTAACCAGCAACCAATCTGGTTGGCTTTGTTAGTGTGTCTGATGCAAGCTGGCATCATTTGCTCGAGGGACAAGAATCCTACTATTCACATACTAACTTAAAGTAATGTTAAACCCCAAAAGATGGAGTTTTTGAGCGTTCGAGCATGATGCAATACCGTACTGTGTGATAGACAAGCTGACCGATCGTCTCGCCCTTTTCGGCAGGCCTGGAACGACACATTCCACACCAACCTTAATAGTGCAATTGATATCATCGCCCTGATTTCTGTCGTGTGACCTAAAACAGCAATGACTAAATATTGTCCGGCGCATTCCAGGAGGGTCAGTGCATGTACTAGATGCAAACATACAGTTTATATTATTTCCTATCTCGATCCAGATCGCATGTTGTCATATGTCTAACTGAGTGTAAGCTATAGACACATGCAGGGCATTGCAGTATCACTTCGTCAAAGCAACTCAACTCTGAGTATCATAACCTAGATTAGGTACCATTCGTTTAACAAGATGTAGGTGATCTCTCAGTCGATGTAAACTGTAGAACAGCATGACTCGGCGAGAGCCGACTTTAGCGCGCGGTTAAACACCGGCTCTTGAGATCAAACCGGGGAAGATATGGCACGTGCGTTCAGCCTCCCACAGTGAGGGGTAATAACTCTGTATAATTCAACCAGGATCAATCAGCTTCAAGGTGGTATAGTATAGTGGCTAGTACAACACGTTGTGGTTTATACAATTACCGTGTAGACCTGGGTTCGATTCCCAGTACCGCCAACATATATGATGTATTCCTACGAGTACATCGTTTCCTTTTGCCATTTTGTCCCTTCCTCTATGTCTTTTTGATTTTTTGACTGTCGCGTAGTCAAAATCTGGGTGCTGCCATGAATCTAGATTTACAACCTGCAACTCATAGTATATGTATTCTCGTCACAGGTCAGGAAGCCCCTATTTTATGTCTAACTGTCCTAGATATTCAAGTCATGCAAATCTTAGTTCATTATAATCCAACATTGGTAAAGGCAAGCGAAAGGAAGTCGTACCGACCTGCGCATATCAATCCTGTTCCTTGATTAGCGGCTTTGTGTTGCGATGGTAGGTTGATGTCAGCAATGGCCGAGAAGCCGCTTCCATGTTTATGAGAGCAACCACATAGACTTAACACCTTTGACATGGTCGCTGATTGCATCGATCAAGCAATACAGGTCTCATATTGAAGATGACCTTCTACACATCATTTGAGGCTCGAAGTCTCAGTGACCGTTGTGCAATATCATCATCGCTCGTCCCAATGCTTATATGTCTAGAACAACCTGACTAACATCAGGGAAGATTGCCTCTCATGAAAGTCCTCAATGGCGACTGGAATAACTATAAATAATAGGGAAGAAGAATGTCGGCCTTCAACCAGACAAGATCCCATAGCCACAGGCTTGATTACTATCATCTAACGATTATATTGTCTATCTGATCTTATATTCATCTTCGCCGCCTTCACAATGCGCCTACTCTCGACCGTGTCCCTTTGCGTACTGGCTAAGATGGCCACGGCTGATAATTGCTACGCCCCATGGAACTGGTGCGGCTGGGACCTTATCAAGCACGGTACTATCATCCCGGGGGCTGTCACTAGTTGTTCGCCGGCTGACACACAATCACAGGCGATTACACCGAGTACATCAGGGAGCATCTCGAGGCGGCAGGGCAGCCGATTAATGACAATACCATCAACAATTCTCTATGGCGCTGCGACAGCTCCACTACCGGAGACGCGAGCTTCCTTCAGTTGTGTCCCGGGGCGTGTTCTTACGGTGGTAGCGGGCAAAGCAGTGACTACTGCTAAGAACAGGCTTATTAGCCACACATACACGAAGATGGCCGGGTTCCCGGTTGAATGCTGATTCCAAGGTTTCAAAATGCCGGGGCGATCTTGTCCATCAGTCGGAGTTGGGGGATTAGGTACATGCAATGAGGATAAGGTAGGTAACAATTGTGGACGTTGGTTTCGCGTTTTAGCGGTGAAGACGACGATGGCAACGCAAGCTTTGCCAAAAATAGGGAACGGGCAAATCGGAGGCTAACGTTTAGTCTATCGATTTATTTACTACGTACATCATCAACGCCAGCTCGTGTTGAATGGAGACACTTGTCGGTTCTTGATGCGTGTCGTATAGAGTGATGTGGATCCCTTTGATTCGTAGCAACCCATGCGATATGATAAGATGCATAGCGGTGGTTATCAAGCTGTAACAAGTTTCGAAATCCCCAATGCAGGTGACGACGAATATCTAGCTTATATCATTACGTGTAGTCAGATATATAGTTAGATCTTTGGTAGCGCAAGTTGACCATGTTGAACCCAGCTCTTGGGCTACGACCAACTTATTAGAAGACTTATTAGTAGATATACTCCGTAATCAATCTCTAATACTACATAGCGATGGTGGTAATATCGCATTCGATGATAACGTGCTACAGTGGGGTTATAGGTGCACCTTGGTCCTCGCGATCTGGGTTCTCTAAATCGTCGCAATCATCCATGGCGGTCTGTCTTCGAGATGAGACTATAACTAGAACTGTCGTGATGAGACGGACACTCCGTCCGATCCAGCCTTTGGGGTCCGGAGGTTGGTACGCGGTAAGCAACATCGAGTGGACCGGAGCACTTGCCGATAACACATACATACGCAGTAGTAGGCATTACTAGTATATGCAGAAGATGCAGTAGTCTCGTCCGATTTAAATAACTAATGGGCTGGATGGCGGTGTTGGTGTTTTTCTATTCGGTGTTTAAGTTATTGCAGACCCGCTGCCCTTCCCTTTTGGCTCCCTTGTGGCAGTTTTCCAGCCTCTTATCGTTATCTATATACTACACACTAGGTTACATGCTACTATCGAATCCTATTCTCTCTTACATGTATGTACGTAGCAGATCTTGTGGATGGCGCCACTCTTATACGCCTGATCCATTAAATCCTCCGGCTCGCTACGAATGTCTTGGGGCTGCCTTGCTGCATGAACTTTGCCGAATACTCCCGTTTGCAGTCTCGAGTGGGATCGGGGTCCTGGGTCAAATCTGGGGTGCCTTTTCCCTCGCTAGCCATTTACAGACTTCGAACCGTCGAAATCTCTTGACCGCCTTCTTTGCTGACGCGCGCTACGAGACTGCAGCCCTTCCAACACCCAACCCACCGCAAAGGTGACCTTCCCGTCCGCGTTCTGATCTGGCGTCATCTCCGGGCACAGGTGAGAGCGGCCGCGAAGAAGGAAAACAATTTAAAAAATTTTCTTTCCCGGATAGAAAAGAAAAGAAAATTTCACGATCTGCCCCCACGAGCTTCACCTTCACCGCTCTGTCCCCGACGGGTAGACTAGCATTGGTTCCCGGGCGTGTCATCCATTCCAGGCTGTTAGCTCCAGCAAAGATCTCAGATTCCCCCAAAGGAAGAAAGCCCCACGGAGCCTGTTGCTACCATGGCCGCCGCGTCTACCGCCATTAAGGTGGTACTGCTAGACATTGGTAAGGACAACCCTATGCTCCAAGCTTTCCCCTTGCTTCCTGTCACCTATCGGCATGGCTCTTAAGGTGCATTAGCCTTCGGACATGCTAGCTAATAGAAGTCTCTGATCAGAGGGCACAGTATGCCCAATCTCGTTTGTCAAAGACGTCCTGGTAAGACATTTCCATAAAATTTGTTCGCAAACGCCATGATCTGCAAACTGCCCACACATGTGGCATGAGGTGTGAGATGATGGAGCGATCGGCTGCGCAGAGGCACCTGCGCTGCAGCACTGCTGCCAACCATGATCTCTTGGCTACAGAGGGGTCTTCCTGACCCCAAAATTCCTACACGTTCTTAGGAGGGCCAGCCCCTATTCAAAAGGATCATATCGTTGGACTGCCGCTAGTTGCGAGTCACGTTTCACTGTTCAGCATCAAGAACAGTACTACTATGCTGAATATTTCTTACTGGCATGCTCAAACTTACGGCATTTGAACGAGCTGATACTGTGCCTAGTTTCCTTATGCCTTGAAAGTCCTACCAGAGACGTTACGGACTCAATGGGACAGTCCAAACTTCGCAAAATATAGGGATGCGTTTCCTCCAGAGTATTCCTCATCCAAGGACGCCTTAGAAGCGCATGTCAAGGACCTCGTGGCGAGGGATGTAAAAGTTTCCTATCTAAAGAGCCTCCAGGGCTACTTGTGGGCAGAGGGGTACGCTTCAGGGGAAATAAAAGCGCCCCTATTTCCGGACGTACCTGCGAAGTTCGCAGCGTGGCACGAGAAGGGGCTCAAGATCATGATCTACTCCTCCGGCTCCGTCCCGGCGCAGAAGCTGCTGTTCAAGCACACGAACGCCGAGCCGTCCGATTTGACATCGCTGATATCGGACTGGTTCGACACCGTGAATGCCGGGCTGAAGATGGAGACGGGTAGCTACGAGAAGATCGCGGGCAGTCACCCGGAGTTTAAGGCTAACGAGTTTCTATTTCTGAGTGATGTCGTTAAGGAGGTGGACGCTGCCATCCAAGCCGGAATGCGGAGCATAGTCGTGCAACGGCCGGGGAATGCGCCTCTGTCGGCTGAGGCGCTAGAGCGGTTACAGACCATAGAGACTTTCGACTCCCTTGACGATGACCTCAACGTACGTGCGTAACTGCCGGGCCACAAATGGGGGGATCGACAGGGAGTCGTCAGCACAACGTGCCCAAAGGCCAAATGGAGAGCATAACAGACGTCTGCGAAATGCTGACAACAGCTTGGGGCAAAAAGGAGGGCGGGGGTAACGGCGGATGGAAATGAGCGTAACGGCACTAACACGGTGAGCCAATCCAACCTTAGGACGGACACCTCCGACCTAAGGTGTTAAGGAGCGCGGCCAAAGCAGCCGGTTTCTAGATTATGCTCGATGCGGAGAGATCGTAGATCTGCTTAGCTAGCCCGCATACCCTGATTATGCCCAGGGAAACGCTGGGAATTAGGTTCGAGCTTGTGGCGAAGCATATATGGATCTCAAAGCTTAATGTGAAGTCTAATTTAGAAGCTATACCATCGAGATTCTATTCATCCAGATAGATGCCTGATCAATAAGGCAAGAAGTCCTTCGCAAAGTCTTTCCTTTGGCCCAACATGATCGCGTAGGTCAGGTTTACTCCTCAGTGTTACGACACGCAGTGCTGAAAGTCTATTGATAGGAGCCCAAGTATCTACGTTCAGTGATACCGGCAACGTCTCACAGCAGCCCTGTGTTCTCTGTGTATATCTTTCCTCCCGAGACAGCACCCCTATCATTAAACGTAGTATTGTGACGCAGCAGCAGTGGCAAGACCATTTGTTTATGATGCCCCTGAATTGAGAATTGACAGAGTGTCTAGGGCAATGTTAGGATGTACATATCACTCCAATACTCAGTCACTTGAAATACCTACGCCCCAGTATATTAGAATAGACTAGGCTACATCACTCATGAATCCACGTGCCGTAAAGCTAAGGAAGAAAACCAATCGTGCAAGGACGCTGGTATTGTTCCTAGGTAGGATCTATCACAATCCGAGGGGGGACCTAGGTTTGCTGGGCAAAGGAAAAGCGATGTAATTCCCATGCTTGCTCAACACACTGTCCTAGGCTAGAGACGTTGTTACTGTGGTCATGTAGCTTGTACAGTGTGTTGGCAATGTCCCGACGTAACTGACTCGGTAGCAGCATTCCTCATTCTCGACTTAAGTTGTATGTATCACAACCTCTACTACTTAGCACTAAGTGATCCAAG